GCTATAATGTAAATGGACATCTTTTGACATACATATAATTAATGTACTTATTAAATGAATTTTATGACTACTACATTTTGTTGTATTTTTACATTTTATTGTATTGTAATTCTTTGCACATGCACTTTTTATTATTTATAAACAATAGGAATTCTCCTTTGCAAACAAGAGAAGAAAAACTAAATATTTTTGAAGACTAAGGGAAGAACCGTTTACTAAACAATCGCCATTTTATTTTCTAAAATTATCGCTAGATTTTTCTGATGACTGTATTATAATATCAAATAATTTTGTTTAGATTTGTAATAATTTCATTTAATGACATTCATTTATCGAATTTTAACTACAGAGTAGACTCCCTATTTGTTCTCATTGTTTCACTACGTTGACCATGATCATTCGACTAGGCAAGTGCATTATTTTAAAATTTCTCAACACCGAACAACTAACAAACCAAACCAAACCAAAAATCTTTCAGTTTCATAGCGCCACATTTTTGGAATAATATTTCTAATAACTTTAAATTTCAATCCTTTACAGATTATAAAAAATAAATTAAGAATCATTTACTAAATTCATTTCATACCAAACCAAACCAAACCAAACCAAACAATAAATCATTTAAAAAATTATAATTTCTTCGACTGATTTGTAAGGTTCTTGTTCTTCTGATATGCCCGCCATTGGTTGCTGTTCCGGTTACACTGTTTCGTTATGCCTCTCTGCTTATCTCCGCTCATCCCTGATAAAATTATATTTTCACTTTTTTTATCTAATTTTATTTTTTTTAATTGTTTATTTTTATAATTTAATTTATTTATTTAGTATAGTATTTTGTTTTTGGGGTCGCACCACTCTGGTACTTTGTGTCATTGTATCGGTTTTTTAATGGCGGTGCGATCCCTTTAGACACACATTTTAGTAGTTGTAAAATTCATATAGGTATGTAATAAATATACATATAATAATAAAGTTTTTATCAAAAACATGTGAAGTCTACAAATATTAGTTTTTGGTAAAATATGTGTTACTAGGTTAAAATAACTATTTTATTTTATTATTGCTAATAGAGGGAGTCTCATTCCCCGGAGATGAACAAGGTTTGGAACAAGATATTGAAACTGCATTTACTAATACACCCAAAATTTGATATTTTATTTAATAAAATAAAGTAAAAAAACCTCATACAAATGAAAATTATTCATAATATCAATACATAGTTTATTAACGTAGTTTTCATGTAGTTAATGAACAGGAAAAGACGTAGTTTTTGAAGAAAAACTACACGTAGTTAATCAGGCAACATACGTCTTAATTAACTACTTCCGAACCCTGGTCACAGGCCAAAGCCAAATCCGCAGATCCGCAGATCCCCACGACAGATGACACGTGTTTTTTAAAACACCCTGTATATAAAAACTGTTGGAACGTCGAATTTTGTTCAAAACGGGAATATTTAATCGAGCAAAGATCTGGTCGGCAGGCCAAAATACGAGAGTTTTGGTACGTGACAGGCCAAATTGGCACGCCAAATTTTTTGTTGTATGGGGAGCTAATAGAATATCCTAGTAACAACTTGGAGTATACTCTGTTTTTATCTCAGGTAAGATTTCGACAGACGATGACAGAAGAAAAGCAGATGACGTCCATACCAATCTATTTATTTTACTAAAAAAAGTTCAAGTTTATTTTTTTGCCTTTAAACTCAGCACAAGAATTAATTCTGAAAAGTAATGTACAGGGTATTGATAATCAATTCTCTTGTAGCATGCATATTTAAATATCTTTAAATATCTCAAAAACCAATGATTTTAAACATATTTAACCCTTATAACAAATGTCTTTTTTTGGGCCCAAGAATCCAAAAATGAAATAAAATACCGGGTGCTCCATAAGAAAAAATATAACTTTGGTATGGATCTTAGTTCTGAGACACCCTGTATATTTCAAAATAATTTTAAATTGTGTACATTGACTCCCCACATATACCCATAAAATATTTTGTTTCTACATCTTTCCGTTTTCGTATAATCAACCGAGGCGATTGACAGACAACCGATTGACAGATAACATCACGTATCGGGCTTTTCAGTCACAGAAAAGCTCATGAAAGAAAACGCCTTGCGTGACCATCTTCTGATGCGTGTCAAATACTCGTCAGCGAGTAATGGCGGTATGGTATGGTATGGTAACCGAGGCGAATGAGGTGCGCCACCCTGTATAAATGCGTTGGATTTATTTAAAAAATGCCATTTGCTATTTGCTATTTTTATTAAGACTAGTATGGACTAGTACTTGAGATTGCTAAGATCGTAATCCAAAATCACAATACATTTATTTTTGCGGTACCTCCTATATTTTACGCGTGTTAAGTTAGCACAACCACTTTAGGAAAAATGTATGAAACTATGTGGAATAATTGCCGTAAGTTAACCGTAAATTTGCCGTGAAAACAAAAAAATTTGCCGCTCTTCGCTAAGTATGTTAAATTCACCATTGGAAATCAGTGAAAGAACACAGTTAAGAATTTTACAGCATAGCAGGAATTTGCCGTTCTTAGAGAATTAAATTAGAATTAAAAAAAATATCCTCCGATCATTCTCTATCCCCCTGCGTCAAAAAATATAATAGTGTCAAGATCATATTATATTCCGTTACCACAACCATTCCAGTAAACGTTGAGTAAAATGTCTGAAATTAGGTGGAACAATTGCCGTAAATTAGCCGTAAATACACCATGCAAACAGAAAATTTGCCGCTATTTTATTTGTTTATATAATCTACAGGGTGATTCCGCTTTCGAAAAACTATATTAGGCTTTTGGTTTGTGAATCTTATTTCAATTTTTTTACATAATATGGAGGCAATGGTAACGCACATTTTGAAAAAAAAATTGTCAGCATACAGGGTGATTCAAACATATTTTCTTATATGTTATATGAATACTATAATTTTTTAACTCAGTATATTTACTATTAAATTTCCATTCCAAAAATACCATAATGTCAAATACTATACTGAGTGGTTTTTGAAATATAAGCGTCAAGGCAAAGACATTATAAAGATAGACCGAACATCTCATTCATAAATACTCGTTGGTAGTGTATCAAACATTCCAATGTGTCAAACAAGGACAGAAGAGACAGAGAAGTCTAAAATTTCCGACATCAGCAACTAGGCGCATTTTGCAGCTCTATTATTTGTTTATCAAATCGACAATTTCTAAATTAACGTAACCGATAATGTTAAATTAGCGTGATTTTTCTTAATAGTCACTAAATGAGATCAATAAGAACTTTATAGTGTAATAGGAATTTGCCGTAAACAAGGCGTGGAATTGAAAAATTTGCCGGTCTTTTATTTATTTATAAAATCTACAGGGTGATTCAGGCTTCCGAAAAAGCTTCATATTAGGTTTTTGGTTTCTGAATTTTATTTCAATTTTTAATATTTTTCATTTAATATAGTAGCAATAGTATTGCACATTTTGAAAATATTTTTGTCAGCATACAGGGTGATTGAAACATATTTTCAAGCCAGAGTTGTATATTTTTAAATAGAATATTAGATATTTTTAGCTCAGTGTATTTGCCACAAAATTTTCTTTCCAAAAATACCATAATGTCATATATTATACCGAATGGTTTTTGAAATATAACCGTTTTTAAGCTAAATTTGCTGCTTATTTAAGCCCTCTAACAAATCTAAATTCTAAGAATTAGGAATGAAATGTATTAAACATATTCATCTTTATTGATGATCAAATAGTTATAGAGTTAAAAAAAAATAGTATTCCATTTAAAAATATACAACTTTGGTTTGAAAATATGTTTGAATCACCCTGTATGCTGACAAAAAAAATTCAAAATGTGCGTACCATTGCCCCCATATTATTTAAAAAAATTGAAATAAAATTCACAAACCAAAAACCTAATATAGTTTTTTAGAGCTTTTTCGGAAGCGTGAATCGCCCTTTAGATTATATAAACCATAGACTTAAAATAAAATATAGACTAAACTACATCTCAACGCGGTCAAAGAAGCTTTTTTGTACACATGTTTACTTCTGGGTACAGTCGACCGAGCCTTCCTCATCCAGCCTATGTTGTCACGTCTTTAATATTATCAATATTTTTTTTCTTGTTATACACATATATTGAGATATTAATACTACAGTTTAATAAAGTAGGTTTTAATATTCCATAAATGTATTAAATAGTCCTTATACTACTAAATTATAAGTCGGATACTGTTTAAAAAGGATAAGTTCTTTACAATATGACAACACCGATTAGAGGCGAGGGAGCCTATTCATTCATTTATTACCTTGTAGTACGCGTCGCACGTGTGAGGTAAAGCTTTGTTGCCGCTATCTCCCCGGCTGTATTAACGCATTTTCTTAGCTTGTAGTCCTTAAGTGTTTATTTTATTGACTTTTTCTGTTCAAGAACTATAAAATATGGTTCGCCAGTGCCAAATTTACAAGAAATTTGACTTGTTCTACCTAATTTCAGATATTTTACTCAACCTTTAAGTACTAGAATGGTTGTGGTAACTGAATATATGACCTTGATGCTATTATATTTTTTGATTCAGGAGGATAGAGAATAATCGGAAGATATTTTTTTTTATTCTATCTAAGAACGGCAAAAAAACGGCAAATTCCTGCTATACTGTAAAATTCCTAACTATGTTCTTTCACGGATTTCCAATGGTGGTTGTGCTAACTTAATATTAAGTTAGCACAACCATCGATTTAACATACTTAGCGAAGAGCTGCAAATTTTTTGTTTTCACGGCAAATTTACGGCTAATTTACGGCAATTATTCCACATAGTTTCATACATTTTGTTTAAAGTGGTTGTGCTAACTTAACACACGTCTATATTTTACCTAAAACCGACCGTTACCATACATCACAGCGACCCTGTATGCACTTATACTAATGTTTTAGTTCAAAAATGTAAATAAATTGTTTTTAAAAAGTTTTCTGTACTTACTCTTTTAGTGGCGCTGGCAGTGCTAATTTCCCAGGCAGTGCAAGTGCAGCTAAGGCGCAAAAAACGTAAAACGTTTTAAACATTTTCAGTTTTTTTTTTTATATCTGTAATAGTCAGGCTGTAGACAACTTTTATACTCTGTATAGAAGAAAGAATCCAGTGGTGGAGATTATTTTATTTTTAACATGAAAAAGTTTCACGATTATTAAACTGTATTTAACGAATTTACTCTAATTTTATAACATATTGTAATGTACAATAACAAACTAGTAGACAGAAAAGACATTCTAATAAATAACACCAACACTAGAAGAATATACAGTTCATACCAAATAAACTTTTAGTCACGTGATTAAGCTTGACCGGCACAGCGTTGCCCAATTTTATATATTTTCTTTTAATCAAAATATTTTAGGAAACAAAAATAAATGAATTCAACAAAACTCACCTTCTTAACAGCACTTAAGAGACATAAAGGGCCATTACTACCGCTTTCCCGTTCAAAATATTTTAATAAAGTTGCGATGAGTTTTTGACGGATATTAAGTTATCTTGTACACTTCGCACTCAAAGTGGTTCTAAAAAGAACAATTTTCGACTGCATGGTCTGCTAGTAAACATTTTTGAGCTTAAAATATCACAAAAATATTTATTTAAACTAAAAACTCATAATAAAAACTAAAGTGTCAAAACGAATGACAATATCAGGAAATAAATAAATAAATACTGCAACTTGACATGTTTTACAGCATTCCTCAGCGGGAAATTTAAATTGCACTTAGTCAGCACGGCATCGAATATGTCCATGGTTGGCAACAATTAATATAAAAATCGCCCCGTCGATGACGTAACTAAAAGTTTATTTGATATGAACTGTATATATTGGGTATAACTAATACACAGCTAACAGAAGAATTAAGTTAGTATGGGGTACTTATGGAAACTCAATCACATTCAAATCTAGAATACCACTTTATCTAAAAAAGAAAACATTCAATCAATGTGTACTGCCAGTCGTGACCTATGCATGCGAAATCTGAGCACTTAAAACGGACATTATAAGAAAAACTACAAGTCGCACAATGCTCAACCGAACAAAATTTGCTGGGAATAACCAAAAAAGACCGCAGAAGAATAGAGTGGACACGACAAAAGACCCGGATAATAGATGTCATCAACACAAGAACAGTTAACCTAATAGGACTGCTCATTCAGCCAAAAGTGTCCGCCAGGTGCATGCGAAAACTACTCGCTTTGTGACGTCATTGTAGCCCTTGTCATGGTTATTAGTCCTTATCCGGCAACCAATAATACACACACGTGCATTATTGGTTACCGAATGCAAAACGTTCATTATTTAGTTTATTTATTTAAACACCTTATGTATATGCAGTATAGAAAATTAACTGTATAAATCGTATTAAATACTCGGATAATGCACTTTTAAGAACAGCAGTTCCCAGCATCACCTTTTGCAAGCATTCTTTTAAGAGTACTTCCATATTTTGCTTTAAAATAATTAATAAACAAAATCGTGGGCACTTAGTATGCACTTTGTCACAATCCACAACACAAAATGAACGTATTTATACACTCTATAGCTCTAAAAACTTTAAAGACACCTTTTTCACATTTAAAATTGACAAAATAATTAACTCAAAATTTCTCAGCTGTTATTTTTATATGTTTACCATAATACACACTATCATGACAAGACCACGAAGGCTTTGACAAGGACTACAATGACGTCACAACTGTCAGCTGAAGCGCTGGAAGAGGCAATCCTATTAGTTTACCGTTCTTGTCATCAACAGAGTAAAATCCCTCAAGTGGCAATGAGCTGGACACCTGGCAAGGCAAACGGACAACAGATGGACCACAAAAATTACAGCATAGTATCCACGAGGAATTAAGAGACCTAAGAGAAGACCAAATCTGAGATGGGATCATGATATTAGGAGATTGGCAGGGATAACTTGGGCCCGCATAGGCCAACAATAGACAACAATGGGCCCAATTACAAAGAGAGTATCTAAATATGTGAGGAAGGTTATACCATAATTGTTTGGTTGAATGAGCTGCAAATGGTGATGATAATGATATTGAGATATTTTCTTAAACAGTTATAAACTATTAAGTAATCCTGTAAATAATCTTATATTATCTTTCATTTTTTCAAATTATTTCAACTTTAAAATGTGGGGTGTACATATTTCTGGTTAAGCCTCTGGTCTATAAACTTGGTCACTATAAAATTTATATCTTTCTTTTTCATTTAATACTAAGGAAATAAATCTAAACATTTTATAGGTTTTGAAAAATTTTATTAACTATATATTAACTTAAGACAAAGAAAATAATAAAATACTTATTACAAAAAAATAATAATTCGCTGTGTTATTGTGTAATACAGATTTGCTGTAAAATCAACAGGGGAGCCAATATTTGGACAGTTCAAAATTTACATGGGATTTCCTGTTTCCACCACCCGGTATTGTTTGCCTATATTGCGTGAACAGTTTTTGAATTATTTTGGTTTAATCAATGCAACAGTTACCACACAAAATGCATAGTGTTTTTAGCTTGGAAACCATTTATAAATAGTTACTCTCAATCTCAATATATGACTCAAACCTTCTACATTTAAAGTTTTTTACTACCTCCAATAGGTAATCCTAAATTATTAAATATCTCTAAGAACCCCTGTACATGTTGAGTCAATTCACATCGTATTTTATATACCGGATTAGTCAAAAGTTTGGACTAGGTTTGCTAGTAATGCTAGGCTTCTGAAATTTTGGAAATGAGGTATATTGATAGTTGCAGATTCAAAAATCATATCTGCGGTGTTGCCAGAGTTATCGTTTTTTCCAATAACAATGCAAACTTTTGTTTGCATGAAACAGAATTTTTTTTAGTCTACGTTTAAAATGTTATATTTTTTTTAATTTTTAGCCCTATTTCTTTGACTATTTTTTTAGCAAACTGTATATAAATATATCAATTTTAATCTGTAAACTCAGTTTATTAGAAACTTTAGTATTTGACTTATTAAACAAGGTTAATCGAAAAGTTGCAAGTTATTTTAAATTTTACATAAAAACTTTGTTATTTCAAATGTAACACTCTGTATTTTTTTAAATAAATTGAAGAAGATTCAAATGCTCTTTCAAACTATATTAGGGTTTCCTATACCTATCTATCTCAGATTTTGAATAAAAAGCGATTTTTAAATAAAATGTCTGGATGGCTGATATCGCCATGGCATTTTTCTAGTGACAGTAACTCTTTTCGTTATTGTTTATATATTATAACATTATTATTTAAACAGTTTACTAAAATTTACCCACAATAGTTTAATAAGTAAGTATTCTTTATTTTATAAAGAAAAATAAGCCATATCTGCTGGTGGAACGAATGGATATGTTACTAGTGATTTTATTTTGTGAGGAAAATTATTTATTGGCCTCAAGAGCTAATGCTCAAAGATATCCAAATAGGAATCTTCCTGATAAGCGTTCCTTTGAAAAACTACTTGTCCTATTTCCTATTTCGCAGAATTGGTAGTGTAGTTTATAAAAAAACCTATTAGGCAGAAATCTGTCGTTGTAAGTAGAAAAATTGAATTTGCCGTAATTGGCTCTTTTATAAAAAATTCATATATCTACAACCTACAAGTTATCCTAAAATAAAACAAAGAACTACTTCTTTGATAGACGTTTTTCTTGATAGAATAATAAATATATATTAATAAATATTATTTATTAAACTATTGTAGGTCAATTAAATAAACTGGTATAGATTTAAATAAAGTCTATAAACTAATGTCGATTTTGAAAATAGTTACTAACTGTCACTAGAAAACTGCCATGGCGATACCAGCCATCTTGATTGCTATTTTATTTAAAATCACTTTTTATTCAAAAATTGATAGGTATAGGAAACCCTAATATAGTTTGAAAGAGCATTTGAATCTGCTTCGATTTATTTAAGAAAATACAGGGTGTTGCATTTGAAATAACAAAGTTTTTATGTAAAATAAATCCTTAAAATAGATCACTAATTATTCGTACCCCTGTATAAATTTAAGGAAGAAGTTACATTTTTCAGTAAAGTTTATTTCTTTGCCTTTAAACTCAGAACAATAATTAATTCTGAAAAGTAATATACAGGGTATTGACAATCAATTCTCTTGTAGCATGCATATTTAAATATCTTTAAATATCTTAAAAACCAATGATTTCAAACATATTTAACCCTTATAATAAATGTCTTTTTTTGGGTCCGAGAATCCAAAAATGAAATAGAATACCGGGTGTTCCATAAAAAAAAATATAACTTTGGTATGGATCTTAGTTCTGAGACACCCTGTATATTTTAAAATAATTTTAAATTGTGCACATTGACTCATATACCCATAAAATATTTAGTTTCTACATCTTTCCGTTTTCGTACAATCAACCGAGGCGAATGAGGTGCGCCACCCTGTATAATGCTAAATAATTCATGAAAATAGGACTAAAAGTAAGAAAAATATAATACTTTAAACTTGACCAAAATATCTTCCGTTGCGTTTTTTAGCATCTGAGTCTACAATGTATTAATTTTATTACATTTTTATATTCTACGTAATAATTCTAATCACGACACTGACTGAATTAAGCCGGGACCCCATTAGGCCACATGCTACACGCCACGCGACACCGCGCTATCCTACGTGGGCCCACGTGAGCCCACGTGTTGCGATTTGGGAAAGAGTGTGCACATGAGATCTGGGGCAGACAAATCACAATGGCGTGGGATGGTGTGTTGCCTAGTGTGTACGCAATACATGTAATTAAATGGAAAAACGTGGGGTGGCATGGCGTGACGTGTTGGCTAATGGGGTCCCAGCATTATTCGGACATATTTGACTCATCCTAGCCCTCCGCCGCTGAGTGAAGCCAGTGTAGCTGGAGATAACCTTGTTGAGACATATACAGCATAGCCCACTCCCATAGGAGCTGGTGGTACTAATTCTGCCTTTTGTAAGACACGAACTTTGGGTCTGTAGCCATTTTTGTCAGCAACATACGTAACCTTTACAACAACACCATTCGATGCGTACTCGTACGATCCAACTACTGTCAAACTGTCAGTTGAATTGTCATTCCAGGTCCTTGTTTCTTCCTGTCTGATGCCGTTTGGTGTATCGTACCTGTAGATAATACGAGTATACTGTTACTATAGGATAATACCTTACGATCGAAAAAAAAACACGTCAAAGACGTCTGGTGAATGACGTTAGACGTTATTTACTTGGCCCGTACTCTTTATTTAAGAAGTAATTTATTTTTATTTACACTGGGTAAAAATGATTTTTAATAGTGTTGTTTAAAATAACGAGAAAATATATTTTTTGCAAATAGATTTGTGTTTTCTGGAAAAGTTCTATGCTTTTTTAAACTTTCTATAATTAGTGTTAATTTCTAACAAGTTTTATGTCAATTTTTAGTAAATAACTTTTAGCGATTGACCTCGCCAAAATTATCATCGATTGTCATTGTTTTTTTTTTCGATCATACGGAGATATACGGGGTGTTTCGCAAAAGTGGCTCAGTCCTATAACTTTTTTATTTTTCATTAAAAACACTAAAAAATACAAAAATTTATACTAACGCACCAAATTTCGTTTATTTATCTCAAAAAATATAAAACCATAGAAGAGAGCCACTTTTCCGAGGGGTGTCTCACTCGGGTAAAAAATGTACACGTACTGCCAAAATATCCTTCCACTGCTAAGCGACTGCCAATGACTATGAAGAAGACTGCCTATGACTGCCATGTAATTATTATAGGCGACTGCCATAAGACTGCCAATGACTGCCAGCGACTGCCAAGAAAATGTACATGTAATTCCAATAGTGAGACACCCCTGGCACTTTTCAGAAACACCCGGTATGGAAAAATCCATAAAATTTAGCGTGCATGTTTTTAAACACATAATTACAAAATTAAATTTCTATCGAATAAAAATTCGTTTGAAACTTAAAGGGCATTTTTTCCGTTTTCTTATAATTCTTTCTGATATCCTGGTTAAAACTTTTGAAATGAAACTTCTTTACGCAAGGCCAACCTGACCGTGTACGACACGTGTCAATGTGACAGTTAGTTTTGACGTAAGAAACGTCAAAAGTTGATGTCGTCCGATCGCGACCAAATTTGGAGGGTAGGCAATGTGAGCAACGGTGCACACGGTCCAACCCTGCAAAGTTTGATACGACGTTTCGTTTATATCTTCATCAGGGTGGAACTAACGATTCGATATTGAAGAAAATTGTGGCACGATTTCGGTATAATTGGGGACGGCATAATCGACTTTTTGAACCGGTGCCTCTAAATCAGGGGTGGATGGGCCATATGGGAAAACGGAAAAATTCCCGGAGCTTCTAACTAAAGTCACGTAAGATTCTTAGTGACTGCATAACTAACTAATCAATTTGCATCAATATAATCATCAACTGCTATTAAACAAAAACACTAATTTGTAAAATAACTATTGAGATGTCTTTTTCTCTGAGACATATAATTATTTTTATAAACATCTGCTGTTTGTTGTCCGGTTTGAAAATTTTGTTTTAGCCACTATTCTTTTATTAATAACTAACAAACATGACTCTGGAAAGTGTACAGCATAAAAAAGATTAAATATTAGTAGGTAAATCTAAAAAGTCTCGGGGTAAGTGCATATTTTTTCGGCCTCGGTGCAATATTTTTCGTGCTCTCCTGAGTAAAAAGGTACACGAATTTGACGCAAACTCTGCGATTGAATAGAAGAAAATAATAATATAAATTGGCTATCTGTATGTTTCGTTTGAATTGGGGACGACCAACCAACGCCTAGCTATTTCAGACACTTTCTTTACGCCAACGATCTTGCAATAGCTGTTCAAGCCAACAACTTCCAGAATATCGAACAGAAAGCAACCATTGAAAAAATATGTCTGAATATTACAAAATCAGCTCTCTGAGACCCAATCCTTCTAACCCAAGCAAGCTTCCGGCCAAGTCCTCCGAGACGACTGAAGTCCCATCGAGTCTTCCGAAACACTGTAAATGTAGAACCACCAGCAGTGGGATTCTGTAAGCTCCGTAGCAAGAAATTTCCTGTCTAGCCTATGCTATTTGTATACGATTGATGAGTCACTAGACAGAAAATATGTTTACAGAATCGCTAGCCAGATTGAGTTCCCCTACTTCAAGGTCTACCAAGGGGAATCCCACTTGGATTTGAAAACCTGGAGAACACTTAGTAAAATTAGGACTGGCGATAGCGTTGCCCCAGCAAAATCCAACCTACAACCTAGTGAAATGAGGTGTAAATCATAATCGGTCAAATTACCCTTAAGTATCATGGAAATAAAAAAGACAATTTCAATTTTTTTAAAAACCCGTAGGCAAATCAGCTTATTTTTTTTCGAAAATATTCATCCTTACATATACAGGGTGAGTCTTAAATAAGTGCAAATAGCTTCAGGGTTGGTAGGTCTCGAAAAAGAAACATATTTTTTCTTTACCATTTTTCAAATAAATCCAAAATAATCGAGTTATTTTACTTTGAAAATTTCCAACAAAAAATATTTTTTGCTTATATTTTGAGAACCACTTTACTAGGTTTTCTTTTTTGTAAATTTAATTTACTACCTATGTTGCCATTTTATCAAGAAATTATGTCTTTTAACTAAAAACTAAAAAAAAATCCAAAATTTTTTCAAAAAATTCCAAATTTTCAAAATTTTTGTTTCGCGAAAACTACCTCATAATCGTGTTTCTGAAAGGTCGAAATATATTTCCTTCAAAATATTTGCACTTATTTAAGACTCACCCTGTATATATTAATAAAAAAATATGTTTCTTCGTTATGGTCATTTTGATTTTGTGGATTTGAGCCGGTTGCCTTCCCGGGCCGGTTTTTTCTTCCCCATCCACCCCTGCTCTAAATGGACGAAATCATCAGGATTTTTCTTAATTACGGCTCGATTGGAACCAAACTCGGCACGTGGATATAGGTACAGTACGTCTGTCCATTCTGTAGCTACGGGGTATCCGTGAGAGGGGAAACGCTATTCTCTCGATGTTTTTCGTAAAAAATTAGACGACGCGTCCCATCAATAAAAATTCGACAAATTTGCGATTTGCGGTGACGTACTCGTCAAGTCGACGTATAAAATATATTGCTGTTTATTTAAATGTTTTTTGTCCGCATTCCTTTCATAGACACAGATCCAGCAGACGAACTGTACACGAATGGAATCCTTAGACGGACAGACAGACAGACGAAAGTAAGAAGAAGTTTTACATCAAATATGCCTACATTTAATTGTACACACACAATTTTTTATTTGAGAAATTTGAAATTAAATATGTATTTTGTTAAGTTAAATTTGCGATTTTCATTGCAATAAAATGCCAAAACCACTAAAGAATGAGAATCAGCAACTTGTCTTGTCTCTACTCAATTATTTTGGACTGCTGAATTATTTAAAAATTGATATTGCTCCGTAAGTTTTGGGGCTTTATTTTATTTTTTAATAGGGATTGTTTTTTTAATACTTTTTGTTACCATATTTTTGCGAACTAATATCTATACTTCCCCTAAGTAAATATCCAATGACTAAAGAATACAAGGACATGTAACGCCCACATATACGGGCTGTGGCAGAATTTGTGACGTTAGACGCCATTTTTTTGGTTTTAACGGATGAGTCATCAGCTGTCATCAACGGCAATTTTGGCGATTTTTAATAATATGTGTGTAGTGAACTTTGCATAAACTTTATTACAATGGTGATTAGTTGTTCAGCTCTCATGTGTAAAAGTCGCAACGATAAGAAACAGCCAGGAGTTACGTTTCCATAGCTAAATAAACAATCAACTCCACCTTTTTAGGGTTTTCTTATTGAATTCGATCATTACTATTCTGATATTATATGTACAACTTAACAAGTATAGCTAGAAACGTGAGAAATATAAAATAAGAGATGCCCCTCGATGCGCAGTGGACAGCACACAAATTTGCTTTAATCAGATTTGTCGTAGCCATAGACTTAAAATAAAATATAGACTGAGCATCTCATTCATAAATAGCTGGAACATGCGGTCAGACACTGTCTTGTTATTGTTGTGTTATTGTTTTAGGTTATAACGAGTGCGACACGAGCGATAGATAGGTTGTCTCTGTCGTAACGGTCGTTCCCTGACGACTCTGCCGAGAAACACAACACTGTCTTTCGTTTCTCAAGCACACCTGAACTCTCCGTATCATAGCCGGGTAATTTTTTATTTTAATGAAGCTATAATTAAATTAAAAATATATCGTATTTAAACTTTTTATATTTTATTAAGATTTAGGACAGGTTTTTAAATAAAACTTTAGAAAAACAATTTAGAGTCCAAAAGGATAAAAATAATAAAATACACGTTATAGAAGAAATTTTATAATCGAAATTAGGTAATTTTGAAATTAATAATAAATTATTAATTTTAGTCAAACATTTACAACCCCTAATATTAATCAAAACAGGATCTATTCCACAGATATAATAGAATCGGCGACAGGGAGAGAAAAAAAAATATGATTGTTGTAATTTTTTTTCTGGTTAAGTGATGTCTTATTATGTAAATTAGAGAAAACAAATCTGTTCCATTAAAGCAAGGAAGGTGATAGGAAGTGGATAAAATAAAAACTACATTTATTTAACTCGGTACTGTCTTTATTATACCGGGTGCGTCTCAAAAGTGGCTCATCCCCATATTTTTTTTATATTTTCAAATAAAAAAACAAGATTTAGTATGTTAGTATATGAAATAAATTAGGATTGATTGACGCATTCAATTGTTTTTGGTCACTTCCTGTTTCAGCGGAAATGACTATAACTTTTAATTTTTAAACGGCACCCTCGGTATATTTCTACTTTATTCGATAGAAAATGACACTCTGAATAGAATGACATATCATATGTCAACTGTTGACATTTTCGCATATGGTTTAATTGTAATTGTAACACGCGGTTCATAACGACAATTTGACTCGAAATACCAAGTGTGTGGTATCAATATATTCATAAAAAAATGCTTTTTCCAAATATGCTAATGAGTCACCCTTGTTCCATTTGAAAAAATTGACATATGTATGATTAAAAATACGATTTGTACATCTTTTAACCGGCTTAGACAAGACACGAAACCTATTAGACGATCAAAACTAAGGCTCCTTGATTAAAACTTAGTGGATTGAAAAAAACTGGATTGAAATTTAAAATAGGATATGTTTTTAAGCGACAATGTCAAAAGTTGACATATGATATGTCATTCTATTCAGAGTGTCATTTTTTATCGAATAAAGTAGCAATATACCGAGGGTGCCTTTAAAAATCAAAAGATGTAATCATTTCGGTGAAACAGGAAGAGACCAAAAACAATTGAATACGTCAATAAATCCTAATTTATGTCATATACCTACTAACATACAAATCAGTTTTTCTATCTGAAAAATAAAAAAGTTATAGGGTTGAGCCACTTTTGAGACGACCCGGTATATTAAAAATATTGTTTCATAATGTAATATCATTTTAAAATTCTTGTATGTTATTTTTAGATTCTGAAGATAATTTTAGAATAAACCGGAATATATTTTTAATAAAAACATTATTAATTATTAACAGGGTTATAATTATGATTTTGTTACAATGTAAGTAAGTAAATAATGTAATGTAAAAGAAAAAATTCAGATTTTACATTTTACTAAAATATTATCTAAATAAGCGCCTTTCTACAACAACGCCACTGACTGCCAATGGGTAAATTGAGAGTTGCCTACCGGTCAAAAGTCGTTTCAAGACTTAAATGGATTATTTAAGTCAAATTTCTTGCAAATTTGGCACTGGCGAACCATATTTTATAGTTTTTGAACAGAAAAAGTCAATAAAATAAACACTTAAGGACTACAAGCTAAGAAAATGCGTTAATACAGCCGGGGAGATAGCGGCAACAAAGCTTTACCGCACACGTGCGACACGTACTACAAGGTAATAAATGAATGAATAGGCTCCCTCGCCTCTAATCGGTGTTGTCATATTGTAAAGAACTTATCCTTATTAAACAGACTTTAGACACAGACAGAGATTTTTTATCCTTATTATATCCGACTTATAATTTAGTAGTATAAGGACTATTTAATACATCTATGGAATATTAAAACCTACTTTATTAAACTGTAGTATTAATATCTCAATATATGTGTATAACAAGAAAAAAAATATTGATAATATTAAAGACGTGACAACATAGGCTGGATGAGGAAGGCTCGGTCGACTGTACCCAGAAGTAAACATGTGTACAAAAAAGGTTGTTTGTCCGCGTTGAGATGTAAATAGTGTAGTCTATATTTTATTTTAAGTCTATGGTCGTAGCGTAACTGCATCTCTCTTCCGCCGAATGCGTTCTCTCTCTATCGTGTGCGCGACCGGAGCTATCCCCAAGTCTCTTCCTATATTTGCCAAACTGTACTTGATATGATAAATACGTCAATATTAGTTTTGTACCTTTTGTTAACATTTTATACATTTTTTTCGTAATTAATTAGTCTGATAACCATAGCACACCATAGGCGTAGTCCAAACATTTATAAAAAAATATAAATATCTCTTCAAGCAGCTACGTTAAAAAAAATGTGCCACGGCACTATATGGTGGTATGGTAACAATTTGCTCTCGGGTGTTATTTATCCTTGTATTCTTTAGTCATTGTATATATCAGTTTACGGACTCTCAAAACAAAAAAAGTTAAGACTAATGTTTTTCAATAATTAGAACTTTATATTTTACCACTTTTATTCAGAACATTTTCTAATATCTTCATTTAATTAGAATTTGTTTGCGTAAAAAATATTTGTACAAGTATTGTATCTAAAATTGAAATGAAAACTCGGTGACAAAATTGCATAAAAGTCAAAGTAAAAAAAGGAGCCGTGGCAACATTGCGATGGCATTCGTCAAATATTTTGATGACGTGCATGCCAACTTTAATTGATTTTTGTATATTTCAAAAATAAATATGTGCTTTTAAAAATAAAATAAGCATTATTTAGTTTATTGACTTACATGAATGTATAAGAATGGTTTTCCCTGGTCAAAATATCTGTTGAATATTCTTCACACTTTACAGAACAATGATAAATTATAAATATCATAACGCACGTTACGAAGTATTTTAAATTCATGATGCTGGCTATGTATACCTGCAACTTAACGAAGATGAAACAGTCGTATATATTATTCAAGGACGATGCATCTTATAGAAAGGTAGTCGAATTATCTATCATAATATTCAACCAATTTTAGTTGTCAGTAAATAAGCAAATCATTTAATTATATATAATTTTTCACTTCAAATGCTTAGCTAAATGGTTTGTAGTACTGTAATTCTATATAATAGTTGTGTAGCAAAATTTTATTCTAATTTTTTTTACGATGCATTTTTAATAAATATACCAGAGTAAGTCTAGATAATCTAAACAGAGTGCCATGGCTGTGTTAACAACACTAATTTTTAATCAAGAAGCCTTGGGAAAATAGATTTGATCGTATAATGTTTTTCGTGTCTTGTCCTGGCCGGTTAAAAGATGCCCAAATTGTTTTATTCATATCTCAATTTTTTGAAACGGAAAAGGGTGGCCCATTAGTATATTTGGCAAAATCATTTTGTTACCAATAATTTGGTATCACACACTTGATATTTCGAGTCAAATTGTGGTTATGAACCGCGTGTTACAATTTCAAATAAACCATATGCGAAAATGTCAAAAGTTGACATATGATAATATATGTCATTCTATTCAGAGTGTCATTTTCTATCGAATAAAGTAAAAATATGCAGAGCGTGTCATTTAAAAATCAAAAGTTGTAGTCATTTTCGGTGAAACAGGAAGTGATAAAAAACAATTGAATACTTCAGTCAATCCTAATTTATGTCAAGTACTAACATACTAAATCTCGTTTTTGATCTGTAAAAATAAAAGTTATAGGGGTGAGTCACTTTTGAGACGCACCTGGTATTTTATTCTTGTAAATACTGGCTTTTTTTCTCACACTGTATGTACTTTATTGACAAACTTTGTATACTAAAAAAATTAACTAATCAATCTGCATTGATTCTCGCCCAAAAATCTTTCAAATCGGAATAAGTGAAAAAATCTAAATTTTTGCCGCGAAATTTTTTTGGAAATTTTGATTTTTTAATTTTGTTTAGAATATCCAAACTCTTCAATTTTAAGAAACCATTTATGCACCGTCGGATAGACGACTGATGGCGAATTGAACGTAGTTTTCCTACATGTGATTTTGATATCACAAAAATAGTACATTTTAAATTTAGTATTGAAAAATGAATTCTTGATATTGCCATATCTTATATTATGTAATTAGATAATATAGCTAAATTGTAAAGTTTCTTGACAAAATGGCGAAGGTATTAATAAAATGATTAAAGTTTATTAATAGCATTTGTCAGGAACAAGGAAAAATAATGTGATGAGTTTTTTTAACAAATTTGATAAAACTTACGTAAAATGTAATTTATGCCGATGTAGTACCATACCGAGTAGCCAACTAAGAATGGACGCCGGCTGTATCTCAGAAACCACTATCGTATAACTTTGGGAAAAAAAATTTAATAAATAAATCGGCCAAGAGAAATCGCTGGAAATTATTTTCAAGTTTGAAAAATGTTCGCTAGGGGGCGCACTGTGGTGGCCAATTACGAAACAGAATTTTTCTCAAAAATATGCTTGTGAAGAGGTATTTTAAATATAGTAATTTGTATTTTTTTTATATATCGTATTTAGATCTATCCCATAAAATAAAGTGGTGGGGGAAGGTTAAATTTGTGTTTATTAAAATAAGGATAACACTGGTTTGGGTTAGCCGATTTAAAAGAATTAGAGCTCGTTTAAAAGAGTTTTTCTTCCCTAATGATCTCCAGTATAAATTTTGTTTAAATAATTTTTTTCATGGTAGCTAGAGGGCGCCGTTTGACATCATAACAGATATTACGCTTTTGCATAAAATATTTAAATAACAGGCTATGTTTCGTTTTGCGCAGTTGAATAGAGCACAAAATTTCCAAAATACCAGCGCCAAACCGAAACTTTCTATCTTCTCTCTAACGGAAGATATTAAGAGAATAAATCATATTAGAGGATTGCCGCCTAAGATTATAAGATCTAAAAATTATATGGTAGATTTGCGTCCTTATGTTACTTCGAAATACAGAATTTTTAAAAGTTCGGCACTTTTATAACTAGTAGGCTTTGAACCCCTTATTGATTATCTGCCCCTAATGGAACACGAAAACATTTTTCCAGCAAGACGAGGCACTGCCATAACGCTGAAATTATCAGCAAATTTTTCACTGAGTCTGTCCATAATAGAAGGTTGATGGGTCGAACACCTGTAGCAAAATCTCATGTCTTGGTTTGCTATTTATTTTTATTGTTTTAGATATAGTTTAAATGAGTTGATATTGTTAAATATAGTTTAAATTGTTATAAAGTTCTGCATCTCTGATTGCAAATATTATTTTCGTTTTAATTACTGCTCACAGGTAGAATGTTTTTGCATTATAGCCGGCGCGGCGCCGCCGTTCAAAGCCTACTTATTTAAAGTGGGCGAATTTTTCGAGCAAAATATTAAGTGTGCTATATTTTTGGAAAGGTAATTTTAAATTATTTTCAACGAATTAAAAATATATAGGATGTCCCATATAAAAAATCAAATTTTCTGTTGATAATTCTTAAATTATTAACTTTAAAAAAATTATACTTAAACCATTAAATTTTACTTAAAAAGTTGCTTTGGAAATGTTTTCATAAAAATACAAAATTTTACATAGCACAAAAGTTACAGCGGTTTGTTAAAAATGAACATTTTTGAGAAACACCCCGTAACTCCGAGACGGTATCAGATATCGATGTGCGTTTTTTACCATCATGCCTTTGATAAAAATTGAACTCCAGACACCGATATTAGTTTTTGTCTATCTTCTATAGAAAAAGGTATTTCCCTTTAAAATCATCCAATTTGGCCCACTCTGTATATGTACTGCCAAAATATTATTTTACTGCCAGGCGGCTGCCAACGTCTGCGAAGAAGACTGCCTATGTCAGCTAACATCTCTCAGTTACTGCCAAGAAAATGTACAGGGTGTCCCATTTTAGTTGTAATCATACGGTATCTCCGTTATTCGTGAAGATAGAAGGGTGCGGTTTGCACAAACATATGCCATTTTTTTGTCAAACGGAAGATGCTGTCAACAAAATTTTCATAGCTGTCTTCGTTTCTGAGCTACAGGGTCTTTTCGAAAATTTTGCAATTTGGGACAGCCGCCTTATCTCCGTTATTGTTATTGTGGATGATATCGAGAAGGTGAAAACTGATTCTTGTAGAACTTTTTCCGTAGAATACAGTGTACACACATAGTACACGCACAGTAGTTTTTTCAAATGGAATACCCCATATATTTATAAATAATATGATCTGTCTTGCTCTCTGTGAGATTCTCAAAAATATATATCACTCTATATTTATTTTCACTATTTACTGCAATATTTAAAATATATAATTTTCTTATTAGTAGGCCGTGATGGTACTTACTAAAATAGTCATACAGATATTCCAATTTTATTTGGGATTGATATATTTCACTTTTGAACTGTTACCACTGAATATGTAAATATATTTTTGTTATTTTTATAACGAAATTTATTATAACGGGATGAGTTTAAAAAAGCATTTTCCAGGTGTTCGACATTGCTGTAGTTGCCACGATACATTTCATATTTCAAAAATCCCCAAAGTCAGAAATCGAGAACGTCAAATCCGGGAATCATATGGGTGCATTGGTTCAATTCATTGATTTGAGAAATAATAATTTAACAAAATTCTAATATTTTCAATGGGGCTCCCCGTCCCATCTTGCTGACACCATAGACTTAAAATAAAATATAGACTACACTATTTACATCTCAACGCGGACAAACAACCTTTTTTGTACACATGTTTACTTCTGGGTACAGTCGACCGAGCCTTCCTCATCCAGCCTATGTTGTCACGTCTTTAATATTATCAATATTTTTTTTCTTGTTATACACATATATTGAGATATTAATACTACAGTTTAATAAAGTAGGTTTTAATATTCCATAGATGTATTAAATAGTCTTTATACTACTAAATTATAAGTCGGATACTGTTTAATAAGGATAAGTTCTTTACAATATGACAACACCGATTAGAGGCGAGGGAGCCTATTCATTCATTTATTACCTTGTAGTACGTGTCGCACGTGTGCGGTAAAGCTTTGTTGCCGCTATCTCCCCGGCTGTATTAACGCATTCTCTTAGCTTGTAGTCCTTAAGTGTTTATTTTATTGACTTTTTCTGTTCAGGAACTATAAAATATGGTTCGCCAGTGCCAAATTTGCAAGAAATTTGACTTAAATAATCCATTTAAGTCTTGAAACGACTTTGGACCGGTAGGCAACTCTCAATTTACCCATTGGCAGTCAGTGGCGTTGTTGTAGAAAGGCGCTTATTTAGATAATATTTTAGTAAAATGTAAAATCTGAATTTTTTCTTTTACATTACATTATTTACTTACTTACATTGTAACAAAATCATAATTATAACCCTGTTAATAATTAATAATGTTTTTATTAAAAATATATTCCGGTTTATTCTAAAATTATCTTCAGAATCTAAAATAACGTACAAGAATTTTAAAATGATATTACATTATGAAACAATATTTTTTAATATACCGGGTCGTCTCAAAAGTGGCTCAACCCTATAACTTTTTTTATTTTTTCAGATTAAAAACAGATTTGTATGTTAGTAGGTATATGACATAAATTAGATTTATTGACGTATTCAATTGTTTTTGGTCTCTTCCTGTTTCACCGAAATTATTACATCTTTTGATTTTTAAAGGCACCCTCGGTATATTGCTACTTTATTCGATAAAAAATGACACTCTGAATAGAATGACATATCATATGTCAACTTTTGACATTGTCGCTTAAAAACATATCCTATTTTAAATTTCAATCCAGTTTTTTTCAATTCACTAAGTTTTAATCAAGGAGCCTTGGAAAAATAGTTTTGGTCGTCTAATAGGTTTCGTGTCTTGTCTAGGTCGGTTAAAAGATGTACAAATCGTATTTTTAATCATACATATGTCAATTTTTTTCAAATGGAACAAGGGTGACTCATTAGCATATTTGGA